TTATCGGTTCGGCTTCTGGGGTGGGTTTTGGAGGGGGGGGGTAGCATATATGGTACTATATATATATATATATAGCTACACACACACATACATGCATGCGCACACACACACACACACACACACGCACAGACAGAGTCCTTCGCTCCGTCCCGTCCCGTCCCGTCCCGTCCCGTCCCGTCCCGTCCCGTCCCGTCCCGTCCTCCCTCCCTCCCTCCCTCCCTCCCTCCTTCCCTCCCTCCCTCCCTGCCTCTCTCCCCCCTCCCTCTGTCTCTTGTGCGTTTTCCTCTCCTGTTCTAGATCTCAGACTCAGGCGAGAGTCGCGAGAGCTTCACGCCAGAGCTTGTGATAGAAGCGCAGGCTGAGGCCGCTGTGAAGGCCGGATTTGAACGATTCTTCTCGCCCCACAGTGGCAGGTGCTGACCGTTGCCAAGCAGATCGGCGACGTGGTCATGGGCATGGAGGTGTCAGAAGATTTGCCAGCATGACAACGGTAGCATGTGTCGGACTGTTTGGCTCTCTCTCACACAGGCCTGGCTCTCTCAATGGCCACTACTCCAGGTGCGCTACACGCCCGCCTGTACTTCGCCGGCCTGCACTTGTATCAGAGGATTCCTGAGCGGAGAGGTGCTGGCAAAGATTCAGCAACGCATGGACGGCGGCTGAGGGCAGTGGAAACCTTGAAGCCGGTCAGTGCCTGCTTGGACAAGTCCATGAGGATCTACTGGGCGATCCCATAGCAGGTTCACCAGGCAAGCTGAGTTTTCCGTCGGAGAGCAGTGCCGATATCAACTTGATCTAGGAAGTTGTCATAATCGACGTGCCCCAAGTTTACCCGCTTTCACCTCTGTGCAGTGGGTTGGCCCCCTGCCAGCCTCGACTGCATTGCCGTCTTTGCAGAGGGCCATGGGTTTTGACGATGAGGCCAGTTGCCAGTCATGGCACTGCAACCATCTGCAACCCAGGAGGAATGCCTCCGCAACAACTTATTGGACAGGCTTGGCGCCTGGTGCTGACCGAACTACACTCCGCAGCTCACATGGCTGCAGTCCCAGCTGCTTCGCCGGAAAATGCCACCGTCCTTGCGCAAACCTCGAGGCTGTGGTACCACAAGCTCTGCGTGAGAGGGTGCTGTGCACCTCAGGGCAGGCTTCTCAACTTCGAGTCATTCTAGTCGTAGAGTACCAACGCCACGATGCGTGAACGAACGAATGTTGATTTCAGTTTCAGCCATATAGGTTTCACCTATTCATCGGGGATCTTTCGCAGCACCCCAGGCGCAGCTGTGCTGCGGAGTTCTTTGCGAGGCAATGAGAGGGCCCGGCCCCTGCTGGGGAGACATAGCCGGTCTTGCCGTCCACCCCCCAGGCTTCAGTTGCTGCTGTATGCCAAGAAGGATCTGCCCCTTCGCGACCAGATCTTCCTTGACAAGCAGGCAGATGTCGAGCAGCCCCGTCGTCCGTTGTGTCAGCTCTTGACGCTGTATTCATGCGTGTTAAGTCAAGGAGGCAGATTTCGTGGAGTTTGCAAGGGTTTTGGCACGGCATGGCCACAAGGCCGTGTGGACGATTCTGTCGCTTGTTCACGGCTCCTATTTCGCTCATGGTCGTCTCGTGATCGTGTCTCCGAAGAGCTGAACTTCCAGTCGTCGTCTTCGGGTCGATCTTCGCACATCTGCAAGGTCTGTTTTGAAAGCGAGAATGTCCAGCTCAAGGGTTTGGGCGGCAAGCAACAGCGGAGGCGTCCGTGCAGGGGCTGGAGGTGGAAGCAACGCAGGGGTCAGCTCTGCAAGGTGTCGGATTCGTCGGTGTGAGCCAGCAGCCGTGTCCCCTCCACAGCCACCACAATCGCCACAACCGCCACGGCCACCCTGTCACCCCCACCAACACCACCTCGATGGAGAACGGAAATCGGCAACGACCGTGACTGTGACTCGGGCTACGACGACCGTGAAGACCATACTTCAACAAGCATAGTGATATTCATCGTGATGACGGTATTGACTGTCTGTTCTAAGGCCTCAGAGATGGTTCTGTGCATCATGAAGCCATGGAAAATGCAGACATTCGTCGTTATGACGAAGAGAGTGGCGACACTGGTGACGGATATGGAAGTCATGATGAGTGCATGCAGGATGAATGACGCACAGACACGCACGGTTATGCTGATTTTGGCTGCAATCTCTTACTGGCTTCGGGAGGATCATCTCTTGTCACTGCAGATGTTGCAGAGCCGTGCTGCTGAGGGCCGGAAGCTGAATTCTGGTTGGCTTTGTTTCCGTCGCCTTTCTGGCTCCAGTCGAGGTCCACCGAGGGAGTATGATTGGATGAAGATTGTCGTCGAGGCGGCCCCCGTTCAAATTGGGCTTGCATCCCAAAATCGTTAATCAGTTGTACGTGCAATGCGAGGATCTTGACCGACATGCTGAAGGCTCGGCTTAGTGTTTCTAGGATGTTTGGCCGGATTGAGCTGCACCGATGCAAAGAGCGCGCCCCGTATATACGTGTTTTGGTGTCATGTCAACTCTCTTTTTGATTGACAGCTACGGTAGGCTGTTTAAGTTCAGGGCAAATCAGTTGAAAGGGATCAGGCTTGTCGATTGAGGCATGCCCTGAATCTTCGCGGTCGACGAACTGAGAGAGCATAGATGCCTTGCCGCAGGTACAGAGAGGAGCCGTGAAGATGAACTCCGCTCCATGATGCCAATGGACCATCCCTTGCAGGCTGGGCAGTGGAGCTGACATTTCAACTGCTTCTTGCATGACTTCGCATGTACATTCAGTCCATTGACTTTTGCGGTCGAAGGACGTCGATAGTTTTTTGCTGGGACAGAAGAGAGTGTTTCGTGCCATGCGTCTGAAACTCTTCGGCTGCCACCCCATGTACTCACAGGCTGCGCCCGCTCTTCCCTTGTCCCCTTTCGGACCTTTCGTGTAGGGATGCGTGGGCGCTACACCTTCGCAACTTCAGTCAGGCTGCTCGCGGAGTTATCCGCTGGTCCTGGACGATTCCAACTTGATCTATCCACTCCGCAGCACAGTTGAAGCGAATGCAATCCTCGAGATGCCAATGCTACCATTGCTCACAAACAGACACGGGGCAACACGACGACCTTGAAGGTCGACATGTTGATATGTTGATTGCACATAGCATGACCCGGCATGCATCCGGGGGCTGTATTCGTTAGTCGTTAGCGCGTATCTCAGAGTGTGCTGTGCTTTGTTGCTGCACTATGTGTGCCGGGAATGGGTGGTCTTGTGAGACGGGGATAGGCCATGGATGCAGGCAATCTGCGTGGTTTTTGTTCAATAGCCAGCTGATTCTGCAGCTCGGTGTTCGTGCTGTGCCTGAGCCGGCAGGTTGACCGCATGCAGCTTGCCCACTTCATCTTGGAGGCCTCGCACCGGGCCGCTTTTAGCTCAAGCGAAGCGAAGTCGAAGAGTTGAGAAGTTTGAAGGTGAGAGACGAGATCGTGTCTGGGGGCCGCATGGAGCGTTGCCTGGACCGGCTCTGGGTCTCCTTCGTTTGTCTGGCGCATCCCACAGACTTCTCAAGCGCTCGGAAGGAGTGGGATCAGCCCTTCCTGCTGGCCAGCGCGTTCGCGGTGCTGCCCTCATGGTACAGAAGCCGGAGCTGCGCATCTGCGCTCCCTCGAAGGGTGCCTGCCAGTGGATGGATGTCTACTCCTACTCCGAGCCAGGGCCCTGAAAGCGCCGAGGATTCCGAAGCCTCTGAGGGCCGATGAGTCGCATTGGAGCTGTTCAGGCCGACGCCCTCGAACCCCAACATGGGCCTGCCAGAGCCCAAGTTCCTCCCACGAATGTGATGTTAGGTGATATGTGTGGTGTTCGGTGAGCGGGGGCTTAGCGTGGCTCTAGCAAAAACTCCCTACGATCAGACGAGCTTGTGGTGTCCAGGCCTGGGCGTCATCGCTTTCCAGGTGGTACTCTACACTACTGGGGTGATATGGAGTCGGAGGACAGATTCGGCGATCACCTCAGCACGGTCAAAGTGTCTTGTGCTGTTGTTTTTTCGAGTGTCCTCTGCACGGTAGAGGTGTGGATCCTGAGTCCCATGACCTCATTCTGTGCCCGTTCATCTTCGAGCACGTCTCGCAGCCCTGGTTGGCCATCCGGACCCTGGGATTTGTCATTTTCAAGGGGTCACGGCTTCGAGACTCCATTGTCTCGAGGACGTTGGCCAAGACTCTGCGACCGGGTGGCTTCATTGTGTGGGCTGCTGCTTGACAGAACCAGGGTGCAGCTTTCTGAAATCGCTGTGGCGATTTGTGAGGCTCCGATGTACCAGCGGTACCATGGGCATCTCACCCAGACGAAGGGCCGTCCCAGCAGAGCGAAGGCCTCGGCCTGGGCTGAGGTCCCCACACGACTACTACCGATACACACCCAAAGGCGTGGCAGCACTCGCCAAGCATGCGGGTCTCGAGGTGCACTCGGTCTCTGTGAGTGTTTGGTTCCAGATCCTGTCTCCTTAACGACTATTGCGCCGTTTTTGCGGATCTGCAGGTCCAGCGTCTATTTTCACCAGGTGACCTTTCCTTGGTGAATGGAGCCGCTTCCTGAGTTGACCTTGCTTGCTTCGGAAGAGATGTCCCCTGCAGCACGGCAATTGGGCAGACTGTCAGGTCTTGATGGGCATGCTCCTGCCTTACTGGAGACCGGAGCAGATTCTGCGCGAGGAGGAGCACCATGAGAAAGAAGATGCCCCCAGGTGGCCATGGAACTTCACGAAGCTTCAGAAGCACGTGTCGAATGCAGAGAGCTGCGCAGGTATCCTCTCAATGTGTTTGCTCTGCTGAGAAAGCCCGACCCTCGGAGAACCTTGTACTGATCTCCCGGTCTCTTCGAGATCGCTTAGAGAGGCTGATGTATATCATGTATATACTGTCAGGCCTGGATCGCGACCACCGCTGCAGTAGCTCTCCACCGCCACGAGCTTCCCCATCTTGTGGCACCAACAAGATCGTCTCGTTCTTCGAGTTCTCAACCTCCAAGCGGCCGGAACCACTGGAGCTTCCTCGCTCCTCAGCAGCACCGAGGGAACACGCAGGCCACAGGGGAGGACCAGAAGGATCCGGACGCCCGTGAAGAAGCGCTCTCATGGAGATGCACTCGGATACTCGGAGAGGCTGCGTTTCATAGCCGAACCGGATGACCCGAGACGAGACTCGACAAGAGCGGGAAAGAGCTTCAGGAGCGAACGCCCCGCTAGCAAAACAGTGGTGGGAAGTCGTTGTGCGTGCCTCTTCGTGCAAGCTGCATGCACACCAAGAAGCGGAAGCCGCAGATTGCAGGTACTCCAAGAAAAAGACTGCTTGTTCAGGACGGATGACTTTCGCTGTTTGTCAACGCACAGTGGGCCGTGAAAGACTCTTCGGATTTACTGCGCAGGAACTTGCTGCGGACCAGCCAAGCTTTTCGGCCACAACTGCAGGAAGCTGCGACCTTGGGATGTATTCCCCCCGTGTTAGTCTATGTGATTCAAGTCTCGAGACTCGAGACCAGGTGGCAGCCAAGTGGCCGGACTTCTTGACCGGAATTCTGTAACTGCCTCATGCCAGAAGCGTCTTTGGACTGCGACCGCAAGCCGCAATCATGACGAACTCAGGCCAAGGATGTCCACGGTGTTCCAGCTGACAGTTGTGAGGCTGCGGGTGACTGCGTTATGTGCATGTTATCATAGTGCCTGACCTGCCTTGGATGTGTCGAGCTGTTCTGTGAGCCTTGCCGTTCACTCCGAGCGCTTGCAGGCACAGGGCATCTGGCAGGATACTTGTGCTCGCCAACACGCTTCGGCCTTACAGCTGCTCTTCGCCTGCACAACTTCGCCTTGCAAAATGCAAGGCATCTCTTCTACCACCCCAATGCCAGGCACGGTTTTCTTGGCAGAGCCAGACTGCCATGCTACGGTGTAGTCTGCCTGAGGCACATACGCCTTCTGCAGATCATGTGCTTGCTGCATGAAGTGCCCTGCTGCGAATGTCTCATTTCGCTTTTCCTAAAGCCACAGCTGGTGCGAGGGTGTGACAGGGTGGTGTGTGGGTGCAAATGCGCGTGCGCGCGTGTGCACGTGGATGTGCGTGCGTGCGCGCCTGCTTGTGTGTATGTGTGGGTGCGTGCGCATGTACCTGTGCACTTGCGTGTGCGAGTGCGTGTGTGTGCGCAGGTGTGCTTGTGTGTGGTAGATTGTGTGTGTCTCTGTTGTGCCAAGAGAATTCATCTTGGAGTCTGTGCCGATGCATCCTCCTCGCTTACCTGCTGTGCTGCAACGACACCGCTTGCTTGACTGTGCAATGGTAGGATAGATCATGGAGGCTCTTGTTTTTCTTATCTGTCTTGATGGCAAGCTTGCAGAGGCAGCCATTAACAGTTTTTTCTTGCAAGTGGTAGACCTCTCGTCAGCACTTCTGTATGCACCGCACACGCATTCATTCACAGGTACAGGAGTTGCGCAAACAGCACAAAGATGCAAAAGGCCGCACAGATTCGAGTCAGCTGAAGTGAGATCCTGATGCAGGGAGTGAGGGCAGCATTCCTTTGCGTCTCTGAGGCCAACTTCCCCACATAATCTTCGCTGGTGACCTAAACTGCTTGCCAGAGACTGGAGCAGTTCCTGGCTCAGTGTTGCAGACTGGGTTGTGGTTTAGGTTTTTCTTTATTGACACCGGGTTGGTATCAGGTGCAGCTGCTGCTCACTGGTCAGGCGCGCAAGCTTGGGGCGCTTGTGTACTGCAGAATGATCATCGATGCGGGGCAGACTGCGTGAGAGAACTGTTTCCGCCTCTTGACCGAGTGACTCCATGGCACAGGTTCCCAGCGACCACGAGGATTGGGAAACCTCTTCCCAAGTGCGGAGCCAGTATCGAGAGTCGCGATACGGGCACAGATGGAATCTCACAGTTTTCGTGGGGCCCGTTCTTGTCGCCAAGTTCGCCTGGCGAGATGAAGAGGCATCAGCTGACACGGGAGAGGCCCGGTCCGGGTAGCTGCCAATGTTGCCTGTGCCGAAACTCCCGGGCCCGAATCCGCGTTTCGTTCTTTGAGCTCGGAGGCTGAAGAGATCCCGAAATCGTCGGTGCCCTCCATGGAGGTGCCATGCCCTGAAGTCCCTTCGCCTCTTCAGCCTGTCCTCGAATGCAGGCCGATGACACCGATGTCGTCGAACCTCTGCCCAGGGAAGCTTGGCAGAAGGGCGGTGACCTCAGGAGTGCAGGGACTGCAGCCCTGCAGTGCACCTGGAATAGCACGCCGCCCAGCCCCGCGCCATTTGTGTGTCGCACCAGCCCACCGCAACAGAAACGTAACAAGAAGGAAGCACAGGGCGCGAATCAGGCGGAAGAGCTGTCGTCAGCGACTGAACAAAGGGCATCTGATTGAGATGTCGCGAGTTGTCTTGACAGGTTGCAATGAAAGACAATGTAGAAGAACTCTCGAGGACCACCCCACGACCCTTTCCCGAGATTACCCACTCCAAGACTAGCCGTGGTGGTAGCCGAATCCAGGACCTTTCCAGCACCACTCCCAAGACCACTCCAATACGAATCTAGCAACAAAAGGTGCATGCCGCTGTCGCGGGAGCGCGATGTGCCCCGAAAATGCGCCCTGCGCTATGGCGACACAACGATGACTCCTGCAGGCGAAAACACACAGGACCGCGGCGGGAAATCGCGGCTTAGCCCAGAGTCCCAAAGTGTAGACTTCCAAGGACAATGCGAATACAATGCGATCCCACAACATGCGAACAGGATTGAGCAGTCCTGTAGGTCCGAGAGGCAGAACAGAGTGGCCCAACAGCCGAAGTTGCACGGTGTCGACAAGAAGCTGCAGCCCTGTAGTCTCGCTTTTTGATGCGAAAGCACACGGTGGCAGACGGAACTCGAGATCGAAAAGCAGAGGAACGGATACACATTATACATTCTGGGTCATAACGGTAACTTCAGCAGCAAGTTGTACAACAGAACAACTAGCAGAAGATGTCCGTGTCGTGATCTTGACGAAGTCTTGAAGAAGTCAAAGTACGAAAGTCTTTCAGATTAACTGGCTTCTTCTCTAACCTAAACCCTAAACTTAAACCCTAAACCCTAAACCCTAAACCCTAAACCGGCGAATGCCCCGAGGCTCTGGGATTGCTCTACAAAATCCACTGGGAGCGCTGGTGGATGTGTCCACCAGCTGCGTTGCGCTGTGCCGTGTGGTCATCGTGGCTGTGGCACGTGACTTGCCAAGGTATGCAAATACTCCGCAGAAGTTTACCAACTATGTTCACGACTTCAGCGGCATTCTGGACTTCACATTCTAATTCTATGCCGGATCAGCAGTTGGCGCGCAAGTTTTCTGCCCATCTGTTTTCATTCTGGCGTCTCGTGCGTGATGTGACGTGTCGCTCCAATTCGCGTGGTTCGGGCCGACAGCATTCCAGCGCCAGGACTATATTCTCACAGATGGCCAGCTACAAGCGACGAAGTGCCTGTCCACGGCTTGGTGCGGCAATTCGAAGACTGGTTCCACATTGATACTGTTCCCACCAGGCTTGCGCCTGCTGAAAAGGACCGCAAATGCCTAAAAACGGCTTAGGCTCGGTCTTTGTTTGTCTCTGCCAGCAGGACGTGGAGGTCCACGGTGGGCTTCCCAGTGCCCAGATCTCAGTTGCTTCAAATGGTCGGTAGCACAGCATGCATCATGAAACTAGAACGGGAAAACTAAAAAATGAGGGCACAACCAAACGTGAAAGTCTGTATAAGTACCAATACCTACATTGAGACAGGTGTGTAAGATGCATAGATTTACACGAATTGAATGTATCCTACATTTAGAGGGTATAACATCCGGACACATCAAGGTACTTCACCCGAGCGATCACCTTTCCATAGCTGCGGACCTAACATTCAGGACCAGTCTGCGCATGCCCTGGATGCCTCCAAACCTAAATCACTTGCTGTTGCCAGGACCAGCTCATAGTCTCCGAGCGATCGTTGGGCCTCGTCTGAGAAATCGTTTTCGTAGGAGGAAGTTTCCGGGCCGAAAGAAGCTCGCGTACGTGCGGTGTCAGCGGTGCGTCGTTGACCATCGTTGACCTGAACTCTCCGTTCACCGCAAGATAATGACACGCAATGACGTGCTCATTGCAACTGAGCCGTCAAAATATCTCTGTAACATCCGAGAATTGCCAGGTTGAGCTCTCGTGCTCTTGAATGTTGAGCCAGTACGGGAATTGACAAGGTTTCCTCATGTTTCCTCTTCTTCCTGGGATCAGCATGCAAAGCTTGAAGTGAGGAATTGTTGAAGCATGTGCTGCGTCAGCTGATGTTGCCCTGCGTACTCAAAATAGCGGTTGCCATCTGCTGTTACGTGCTTACAGCACCGTGACATCGGTTTCAGAACGACATCAGCTGTCATCCCTTGTGCATGAAGCCGTCCGTTCACATCAGGCCGCACGCAAGGATAGCTCACTGGCAGAACACCACGAAGCCTGGAAGTGGAAGTCCACCGCCGTTTGCTTTGCAGCACTGTGCTGTGCGGCCATGGTCATGTTACCTCGTCGACAGCCAGGGCATAGTTTGCTGGTCTTAGTGGCTGCGATTGCCGCTGGAGTCTCGTCTATCCATGTTCAGCCGAACCTGCGAAGCATTTAACGCAGCCTCAATGTGAAGTCTAGCTAGGGCCGAGAAGTTGATTTAGAAGGTACCAGCATGTCGATATAGTACGGAGAATTAATTTTTGTGCTCCTTCCTGCTCCAAGATTGCAGCATCGACTCCGTAGTAAAGCAAAGCAGCAGGAAAGAAAGACAGGTATAAGATGTGTAATTCAGTGCATTCTCAGGCAGTCTTTGCAGCTTTGTGCTACCTCACGCGGCGAGGAGTGGATTGAGACTTGCCTGGGCCTGACTTTCAGGCATGATCATGTTGCAGCTTCACGATGGCATCAGGCTTCCTTTTTAGTTTTATAAGCTACAATCTGGCTTGCCACCGGATTCGAACGTTGCAGAACAGGGCCTCAAGTTTCTACTGAACGCTTTGAACATGACAAGTGATCTGCTCTCATCGATGGTCGGCCATTCTTTTCAAGCTGTGCCCCAGTCAGTGGCTTTGTTGTTATGGGTATAGTGATGTGCAGCGACAGCTTTATGTGAGGGTACCTTGGTTTCGTGGTTTTGAATCGTGCTTGTTTTTCACAAAGCTGCTGTGAGGGTACCTTGGATTTTTAAACCCAGATTTCTTGGTTTGAAAGGGCTCCAGTATGAGCCAAAGCAATGTACGGCGTATGAGAAACAGTTTCGGGAATTGAACCTGGGGCTTTTCGCGAATCAATCCATGCGCTTGACCGACCAGGCATGGCCTCATCGTTGAACCCGTCATTGTTGAACCCATATTGGGCACGCCCACAACCCCAAAAAAGCCAGCCCCGCGATTTTCTTAAATTCAAGAAATCCGCCCTTGGATTTCTCATTTTGGTGGGTTTTTTGATTCTTGAAGACAACGCAAAGCCGTGTTAAGCCCTTGAGAAGCCCTGACTAAGCCTTCATAGATAGCCTATAAAGCCCTGCTAGAGCCGTTATTGAGGCTGAATGAAGTCCTTATTTAGCCCTTGTTCTGCACTCCCAGGAGCTCCCAAAGTCACCCCCTCGATTTTATGAATTTCCATGCCTCGCTCCTGAAACACCAAATCCAGCCCCTCAGCAAGCGAAGAAAACAAGCGAAGGAGAATCGAGAAGAGCAAAATCAGAAATTGGCACGCCCGAGGTCAGCATAACCTCAAGTTCGTAGTTTCAGGTTGCGCATGTTTTCGTTTTTTCGCACGGCTGCCCGAGAGACTCAAACTTCTTAAGCCAACGAGTTTTAAGCAGTGCGGTGCAGTGGTAACGCCGGTAGACACGTAGCAGCGGCAATAGACGCCTCATGGACTTAAACTTGGCCCGAGGTCCATCCATCCACACGCGTTGTGTCGAAACACTCACGCCAAGCGACGACAGAAGTCTCTCCGCCGAACTCAGCTCCTTGGATTGTACTTTATGGCAAAGTTCAACACCGGCTTTTACAACACACCCATGCAAGACTAGGAGCAGCGGCAGCAGCAGCAGCAGCAGCAGCAGCAGCAGCAGCAGAAGCAGCAGCAGCAGCAGCAGCAGCAGCAGCAGCAGCAGTAGTAGTAGTACTAGTCGTCGTAGTGGTAGTAGTCGTCGTCGTGGTGGTAGTAGTAGTAGTAGTAGTAGTAGTCATGGTGCCAGTAGTAGTAGTCGTAGTCGTAGTAGTCATAGTAG